GGGGGGGGGGAGTGGGCATGACTTTACGATATGACCACGTCTTTGCCGCGTGCGACGCCCAACACGCGGCAAGACGTGACTCTGGATGCATTTGGATTGCTTCCTCTTTGTCGAAGAGTGCACCAAGGCGTCAAGCATCGACTAAGGTATCCCCAGACCGTTAGAGGACGGGATAGCAGAGACATTTCCTTTATTTCCCCAAGCTCACTTGTCTCGCGTTACACCGGACGTTGTTATCCGGACTCGCAATGACGAGATACCCAAGCGCCGTAGCTGGATAGCCGGCAACTTGATGCAGGTGTCCCCGTGGCTCTAGATTGGCCGAGGACAGTATAAGTCAGTCCACTTGGACGATTGGACTTGGGCATAGCATGGCCACACGGTGTCTGACCTCGTGGGTTTGAAAGAGGAAGTGACGGGTGAGACTCGTGGCGTCTCACAACGGAATTCCACTGAGGCATACTCCGTCCGTACTGCACGTACAGAGAGCATTTTGCTCGTTTGTCTCGAGGGAGCCTTCCCAGAAGAGACGAGCGAGATGCCGGAAGGGGGATAGAGCTTTCAGAGAGGAGCTCCCGAAGCTAAAAGACACCATGCTTTGTGATGTTGGTTTTGTTCTGCGATGGAACTTGAGAAAATCTTCGCAAGGGGAATGGTCTTGGCACTAGGCAGAGGCAGGTAAGCTACGGTAGACATGGGGTTGAGAGGTCGCTGAAAAGCGTACTGAAGCTGGCATGTTGAAGTCGCAAGGTGACTCTGGCGAAGCATTGCTGACAATGGCAATTGAAGTTTGAATACTCCGTAAAGTGATCGGAACTCGAACAGCCGGGAGGTAAGATTGGCTGCGAGCTGGTCCGTGAGGTCAATGGAAGGATTGCGCAGTATGGAGTACAACGGCAGGCAGGGATCGCTCCTTGCTCAGATGGAGGAGCCAAGGTGAGCAGTTGCGATCTGGACCTGCCCTGCCTGCAAAGAGCTCGGTGAAGCAGCCGACCACACCTCGACGCCATTAAGGAGCCACCCACGAGGCGGTTCCTGCCCGAAGAAATGGGGAAGAACCTGGATAGCAAACTCGGCATATCAGGTGCCTAGCTCGGTGCCTTAGGTAAGCGGCAATTTCCCCAGTCCCTGAGGTGTCCTTGACTCCTTGCCTGTCAGTGTTGCCGAACCCACCCGACGAGGACGGGGCGCAAGTCCGGTGCTTCTAGCGGGCCCCACCACCACAACCACTCCACCCGTCCACCTCCCGCTCCGGAGCGAATGACGTTTTGTCCTCGACCAACTCTTTCTCGGTCAACAACTCCCGTCCTTACCAATCATCAACAACACCGTCTCGACCTCACTTCATAACCAACCACTCGACACCCTCAACTTTTAACGCTTCCTCAAAAGCGCCACCGCTATTCCTTCGCCCGCTGCTTATTCTCAAACGAACTTCTTTTTGTCCCATGTCTCATGCATCCCGGCAAGTTCAATCTGATTAGGATAGACCACTTGATGAAATGGGATACCTGCACCAAGCCGAAATTCTCTGCCACTGACTCGAAGACCGGATGCTCCGATAGCGCACAGCTCGAGCCGTGACGGCCACCTTCATATCCGCCCGATGACCCACCAAGGGAACCTCTTCGTGATGGTGTACCACGCACTGGCACATTCAGCAGGATAGCCGGCAGTGTTTCCAGCCAGCGCCATCTGACGATTTTCTGTCTCCCGCTCTTGACAGGTGGGGAAAGAAGCAAGCTTGGAGAAACTCGCCTCGTGGTGTCTAGCCTGGCCCCCACGAGCTGGACCTTCTTTCATGCCAGCGGTACCTTCCGCCTGCACGCTCGAGATACCTCATGGCTAGCTGTATCCCGTGGCGAAACCTTCAAGACGACTTGTTCTCTGTGTTCAGAAAATCATCGCCCAAGGGCCAAAAGGCGTGGCAGACACTTTTCCTCAATGGCACGATAATTCGGCCGCTTCTGGTAAATCTGCAAGGCTCGGCAATCCAAGCGGGCAGACCCACTGCAAACTTAACCCGATTAGAGGCTCAAGGAAACTTATACCTCGTAAAGGTTGCGAACCAGATGATTTGTGGTTCTCGACCTCTTTACATCCAACTCCAGTAAGCACGAAGCGGCCTAAGGGGCATTCGCCTCTCGAAACAATTTGCTGTTGGCTCATGCTCATGAAGAGAGAGAGGCTGCAGATGCGGAGCTGGAATCTGCCAGAACGTGCGCCGGCCGAGACTACTGCACTCTCAGCCCGGTCCGTCTCACCAACTCCAGCAATCCTGCAGGCTTCTATGCCAACCTTCAGCCGCACCACGATCGCACGGACGTTGTTCTCGTCTCGGAGAATACGCATCGTACATGAGTCCTAGAGATCGCAGCCTCGTGACCCGCCTTTGCTATCCGGGCGTTGTCAGAGCCCTTGGTCTTTGGACAGCTCGTCAAGGTCTACTCTGTCTATCTACGGTGGCTCATTCCCCGTTACCGCTTTGCGATCCAAACTGAACGGGCTGCAACAGACCATATTGCGCTATAGGGCTTGTGACGTGCCTGGTCCTTGGACCCTGACGGACCAGGGACCCCTGGTGGATTAGCTCGTTCGCCATCGCGGAGATACCAACTGTTCGGATCTCGCGTACGGCCGGCCGTCTTGTCGTCTTCGATGGGGCAACAAGATTGGCGCCTTCTGCCCTGCAAGCTATCGACAGCTAGGTGCCTCCAGACAGACTAAAATTCATCTTAGCGCGCCTTTCTCCATCAAGTTGGAATTGATTGCCAATTTGTTATCTTTGACAAAAGAGTGACAACCAGGTGACATACAAGGTTCAATGCCAGGTAGTTTGAGCTGTCGCCCGGCTCCAGAAGCTCCTCCACGTGGTCCTGCGACACTGACAGTCAGCTCCGGAAGAGCTTTTCTTTTTCTTTTTCGGCTATGGACCTGGTCAAGGTACGATCAAGGCCCAGGCAAGTCCTGACCCGCCAGTTAGCTTGGATGTTTTTGCGCTCTGGCATCTGCTAGCTGGCAATTGTTTTTCTCGAACAATGCACACCAGATTGCACGCACAGCCCGTTCCCAATGGCTCTACTGCAAGGCTATGGGCGTGGCGTCTATATCATCGGGCTTTGCGAGATCATCTGTCACGGGTTGCGAACAAGTCGAACGTATGTGAAGAATCACGAATCATGGCTTACATCTCGACTGGGAGTGCGGTGGACAAAGATAGTCCACCGCGGGGTATAATTCAGCGCTTCCTTTATCCATAAACTATATGTAATGCTCTCTCACTCCGAGTCGGAGAGTGTTTGCTGCAGTTGCCCAGACAATTATGCTTTCCGAAGATCCTGCAACGCCATGGCAGCATCTGCATCCTTCTTGGATTATCTTTCGACTTTGGGCGGCTTGAAACCATGGGTTTGAGGTGGGGTCCAGTCCGGCGCCTGGATCAGTCTTAACAGGAGGGGGTCCGACAGAAAGAAGGGGTTTGCGATCCGTGGGTCGATGCGAGTCTGCGTATTAGACGAGATGGCCGACAATGGACCCGCGGGGGAACTAAGAGGTTCCATTGGTTGAGGTTTCGACAACGAAGCGGCGGGTGCATTGGTCGTTTGAAGAGGTGGCAACGTGAGCGAGTCCATAGATGGATGTTGAATGTCTGAGAGAATCTTGGGCGACACAACGACCGGCCTCTCTTTGACTTGTGTTGACTTGATTCGTCGTGGAGTCGGCCGCGGGAGCGCTTTAGCAAGTGACGCAGGGCGAACAGCGACGGGACGCAGCATGCCAGGCACGAAAATCTCTTCGCCGTCAATCGTCTTTCGTTTCCGCATCCGAGGATTGATTTTGACAGCGGCAAAGATGGAGCTTTCCGCGGCGCCTGGCATGGCCAATTGCGCACCAACACTTTCATTCAGGATCAGCTCCGGTGGGCCATTCTCCTGCTTCATCTCTGCCACAATTGGTCTCCGCTGGAAACTCTCCCCCGGCTGGTCTGGGAGAATTGGAGATGGCCGCGATATAGCAGCCGATGCAGACTTTTTTGGTCGCCTGGTCTTTGCCTTTTCAACACGGAGGGCCACAGGGGATGCCGATGTTGTCGGAGGAATGCTGCCTACAATACGGCGAAGTTCAGCCATCACCTTCCATGTCACCCAAGCAGCATTCGTCTTGTCGTCACGAACTGCCATTGGCCTCTGAGGTGTATTCTTGGGGGCAGCAATCTCCGGTGGTGTCATCAGACGTTCGATCTTGACTAGTTTGTCCGGCTTCTGAGCCGTACAAAACTCAGAAGCCTTGCAAGACTTTTCAGGCTTCAGTGTCGTCTCCGATTGCGACTCGTGCGGTAGATCCGTGGACGATGTCGCGGATGGTTTTACAGCCTCTATCCTTGGCTTCTCATCCGCAGAGCTCTGGCGTTTCCTCATCTTTTCGTTGCTCTCCTTCTTCTTCTTGGGTAACTTTGTGCCGGGCGGCAACCAGAGCAAGGGTACTCTCTCCTTCAGGTTAGATACCCATGCATCGCAGTCCCATTGGACCCAGTAGTCGATAATATCCCCCCATGAACTCTCTGGGGGCTTGGTGAAGTTGACAAAGACGACTTTGCCACCCCTGCTGTGGATGGTCTTGGCGAACTCCCTAACAAGGATCTTCAGGCCATGGACCTTCAGCGACGTGCCGAGAATGAGGAGAAGGTCCGGGGAGAGTCCCAGGTCATGGGTGACGATTGGTGAAATGAGATGGGCGTTCGGGTGTTCTTCGCCGTAAAGTACGATGTCTGGTCTCAACTTGCCCACACCCAACGCTCTCTTGCCCCTCTCCTGCCGCGCAGCCGTTGCTCCCGCACAATAAGGGCACTCCGGCTGTCGCCCTGAGAGAGTTTCGTGTGATCGGTCAGCTTCATCCCAGTCGCAAATCTTGCCGCAAAGGAAACACCTGAGAGACTCCAGTGATCCATGCAGAAAAACACATTCCACGCCGTTGGACTTCTTGTCGACGTGCTGCTGGGCCTGTGGCTCGGCCGAGGCGGTCGCGTCGGCCGATTCGGCAACCCCGCCACTGCCGGACCCTCGTGATTCATCCAAGTCTTTCGACTCGTTTGCTTCTGGTGTTGCGGAAACAGGCTCTGATAACGAGCTCCCCGTTGCTGCCGTCGCCAAGACGGCCCCGACAGATTTCCTAGAGAAGCGGCCCCGATGCCCCGGCCCTTCCTGAAGTGAGGTGGAAAGACCAACCTTCTCCTCAATTTGATCGATATTCTGCGTATAGCATCGCACCAATTTCCCACGATTGCGTAGATGACCAATGAAATGATGAGATTCCGTGGGCTCTACATCTTTGATCTTCTCTCGGAGAGTTGTGGCGAAGGTATAAAACACTGATGTTCTCAAGGGATCCGCCCATATTGAGGCATCGAATAGATCTCTGCCTTTAATGTTGGGCAAAATCGACTTGCTAGGCTGCGAGGACGGCGGGGTTTCGTCGGTTTCCGAAGATGCTACGCTGCTAGCCACACTCGATGCCTGCCTACTGGTTGATGACGACCGCTCCTTGAAGGGGTCGAATAAGACTGGCGGAGGTGATGACAATGGCGAGGAACTGAAACCCATTGGCTGCTGTCGTAGAGTTGATCGTGTGAAGCGGTCTGTGTCTCTTTGGAAAGTGGGTGTTTGCGGAAATATGCTTGGTGGCGACGACAGAGGCGAGGAGCTGAAGAAGAATCTCGAAGCTTTTGGTGTAATGTGGACGGAAGTTTTTAAAGTTGGGTCAAAGGAGTGATGCCCTTCCTCCAACTGCACACCAGCCTTGGAGAGGGTAACACTGGGCCGGTTGGGACCTGAAGTTGAGATGACTGCTTCATTACTTTCAGTCCCTGGCACAGAGGCAACGGTAGATGTCAGCAGAGACCTCTTACGCATCTCAGCAGAGCTCGCCTGATAAGCGTTGGCTCGCTGGGCACAAGGGCTTGCAGATCTTCCCCTCCTCCGAAGATAGCTGCGGGCAGCTCTGTCGGTCTGTGCTGGGCTACTGTGAGCTTCCAAGGCGCCAAGACATCTAATAGCATCCAGGTCCTTCCGGGGCCCCTCGTCCGGGGGTGAAGACTGAGCTCTCGTGATCTCCATAGATGATCTGGTGAAGATGGCTCCGTCGTCCGTAATGAGTGCATCATCGGTACGGATATTTTGTCGCGCGCTCCTGTCATCCACGGTGGACTCCCTTGACCTCGCTCTTGTGACGGGGCCGGTAGACCTTGCCACGGTTGAGCTGTGGCCCTGCAAAACGGACGCTTGAGAAGGTGTGCCGACTGCGTTCGACCTAAACCTCTCCGCGTCTGTCGAAATTTGTGAGTCTTGCGAGTCGTCACTTAGGCAAATGCCCGAATCCTCGAATGAAAGTCTCCTCCGTTTCGCAGGCGGTTCTCGTTCCTCGCGATTGACATCAGCTGACCCAAAACCCCTCGGTTCGACAACGTCCACCCGATTTGCGGCATCGAACTGGGCTTGGATCAGGGAGTAAAGCCCGTTTTCGCTGCGGAAGTCCTAGTAGGTATCATTAGCATGGGTTGAGCAGCCTTTGCAGCATAAGAACTTACAGGAATGCCCGAATTGGTACTGATGCCTGCGCCCGTAATGACCACGACCTTTCGGGCTTTGAAAAGAGACTCGGCAATCCCTTGCAGCAGAACATCCTCCGTTGGGGTGACCTGGGTGGTAGGCATACTGAATATGTCCTAGAGTGGGCCCATTGGACTGTCCCGGGTGGATTTCCGACAGCCAGGTACTTGTAGTAATATGCTGATATCCTAGGCGCGTCTGACAATCATCCGACACTGACGCCAGACGTGGTAAAAGATATCCGAGAGATGATTCCAACACTTGACTTTCAGATGTCGGAGGTAGAAATATGCTTGTTGCGAGGTCCAGAAAAGTAGCGCCCCAGACGTATGGTGGCGTCTGGAACTGCAAGCCCTTGCTCAACTCAACTCAACCGAGCAGAGCAGAGTTACCAGTCGTTCGGAATTCCCAAACTTTGCTGAACGAGGGATAGCAACCGCTCTTTCCTCGTCAAATCCGGATATTTGACAGTGATGGACAGCCGCGCAGTCTTTTTCGGGTTCTAGTCTCTATGCGACGCGGTGGTAGAAGGGGTTGGTTGCGGTGAGGACGCGGTGGGCCAGAGGTGCCAGACCAGGGTTCGCGCTACCAAAACTTGCTCGACAAGTCTCGATGTCGGCGGCGCAGGTCGAAGAACGAAGAGGCTGTAGTGGCTGCAGCTTCCAGGTGTTCAATGGGCAGAAACGTGTGAAGTCGCGAGATTGAGAAAGGCTGAGTTTGAGGTTGTGGCGAGGTGACTGTCGAGGCCCAAGCTTGACCCTTCGGACAGACGCGTCTCAGAAGATGCTCGGGAAGACCAAAGCTTGGAAGCTTAACGGCCGAGCTGTGGACGCTGCCGTTTGTTTGGGGATTCGAAAAGCAGACAGGCGGAGGATCCCAAGGTCGAAAAGAATCGCGAGGTGCTCAACAGGGAGGAGCAATTGACGAGGTTAGCCACAGGAAGAGCGTGTTCAAGGTTCCTGAGGTGCTGAATCGGATGTTGTTTGTGAACCGCGACCGCCCCGAAGAATAGGTCCAGACGCCAACAGCTTAGCGTCAGCGGCCCAGATCGCTAACCTCGCCTTAGTGAGATCACCTAGATCCACTATTGGGCGATAAGGATCCAAGACAGCGATAATTTTGTCTTATCGATAAATCGTATGCTCTGATAAGGAACCTACAGGTTTGGAACCGTGCACTCGTCATCGCTGCCTTCGTTCACGATTAATCGTCTCAAATCCGCAATTGGGCCACAGCGACCTGACTTCAAGTTCATCTCCGCTTGCTTCAACGGCTGATTGTGTTCAGCGCCGGCATCAGCCCCTGCACATGGCCATGCCCATCCCCGTTCCCATGTGTCGGGGTGGTTAACAGATTTAGCACCTATCGATCACCACTGCTGGAAACTTTGTTGACTCTTAGTCCTATTCCATTACACAGCTTTGGTGATGGTGTCAAGAGGCGCGAAAGACACTTTTATCCAGCCAAGTAGCATTTCGAAAGATAACAGAGAGTTTGCGGAAATACCACTCCCGAATACATCGCTTTGATGGGAAATCGCAACCTTGTCAATGGCAACCCTTTCTCGAGTCTCTCCACCGCGACGACCGCTTGAAGACGAGATTCCCATCTTTGCCGTCTACGGGTCGTCCATCACAACAGACGCGACGCCTTGGCGTGACATCATATCCAGCTCGATTTCTTCTGGATGTAAAGGCGTGAATAGTGCGGGGAAGCGAGCAAGTAACCGTATCTCACTACCAATGCGTTTGACCTGAAGGGTTGAGCGGTGCTGTAGAGACATGAGACGAAACCAGCAGCAGCTTGGTACGCACTGTGGAACTCTCGACGAGCACATGCATGATAAGAATGGTCAATTATGCAAGGATCCCTTACTCGTCTCAAGTCATCGACAGCTGTCGGCTCCGTCCATCTGATATTTCCGTGAAAGCCAGGTTGGTTCACAACATGGCCGTACTTGAAGTGCCCAGCCAAAGAGTGCACCAATCTTCATCAAACAGATGGGCTTCCGCCGCGCTGAACTAATCCCATCATCCAACTCGGGTATGGTCGAGTCGACAGTTGGCTTCAAGACGTTGCAAATCAGTCTCTCGAAAGACGTTCAGAATCCTCTCAATCTATCACTCAAGTATCAGCTAGTCTTCCTGGAGAGTAGTGACTTTAGCACGAACCAAGTATTTCCCAAAACCGGCACAAACCTGGGCAGCGATGCAACGGTCGATCCGGATACCCTTCAACTCTTTGGCAATGTCGATACCAAGACAGCACAGCCTGTCCTCCTCAGCAACCCTTTCACCGAGAAAGCCGTTCACAACTTTGGTGTAACTACGGATTACAATGCCAAGTGAGCCTACCCGAGCCTAACATGTGCTCAAGGGTGCTGAGACTTTATACAGCACCATCTAGGTATCCTAGTCAATCGACAACAACGACTTGGAGACCCAGGGAGGGCCCCAGCCCAACGACGTCAGCGTTCAGTATCAGTACCACTTGGTATTCTGATCGGAGGCCAGGGTGACGTCACAAAGAAAGGGTTTCAGCCATATGGTATTGATGAGGATATCGTTTACAGCGGTATTTTGAGGAGGACAGCGCCAACGGCTGCATCAGCCTGGGTCCTTAGTCAGTCTTTGCTGCTAGTATCCTATTTTCCGGGGTCTTGGGGAGGCAAATTGTTGTACTACTAGGATAGATCGCGACTTTTGCGGTGCAAAGGTTTCGCGGTGGTGGATGAGCATCCCCAAATGTCTGTCTTCAAGTTGTTTGAATCAACTTTGGTAACAGTCATGAGACCCGTCTTGCTGAAAACAGTGAACGCATGCTGGCTAGGAAGTCAAAGGTTACTTACTACGAGCATGTTTTCACCCATCACTGAGTGAGATACGATGAGAGATCTGGTTTATTAAGTAAGGTATGTAAGATTAGGTTCAAGAATTGTAGATCAGGACTCGCCAATGAATCACAGATCAAGTCTGCCCTCGATGATGAAATGACGTCTGATTTATTGTGTCTATGCCTCCTGATGACTAACCGCAGCAGCCAGCTTCTCGTGCCGGTTGGCAACTTCTTCAAGCTGCGGGCGGAGAGAGTCGGCTGCTTCCTGCGAGAAGTGGCGAGCGCCAACGCGATGCTCAAAGAGAAGATCAATCTCAGAGTACGTGAGACCGAAGGGCTCCGGGAGACGCAAGAAAGTCCAGGTAAGGAAGAGTACCGTGACGCCAGCCCAGAAGAAGCCTCCCCTAGCTCCCCAGTTCCAGTCATTCTTTCCCACAATTTTCGGCTGCAGTGCATTGACGATGAAGCCTCCGCAGTTGTAAAAGGCGCGGGAGAGAGCAACAGTCTTGACGCGAAGTCGGGTAGACGGCATCTCCGCGACGAGAGTGTAGCAGGAGGGACCAACGCTCAGCTGGAAGGAAAAGAGCATCACGATGATGAGAGCTCCCACGGCCCATGACCTAGCAGGCAGCCCGGCCGCATCCTGTGGAATGCCGATGCCACCAATGACAACGAGGATCACAAACATGGCCGATAGACCAGCCAGGTAAAGAGTGCGACGACCGACGTGAGTCATGATGTACCAAGTAATGATACAACCGATTAGACCGATGCAATTCTGCACCAGACTCATCGTGAATCCATTCTCCGAACTGAGGCCAGCGTTGATCATGAACTGCGTGCCATATCCCATGAAAGGCACCCCGCAAAAGGACTGCGTCAGCCAGACCATGCACGCGATCTCGGTACGACGGAGGTCGACGCCCCGGAAGCAGTCCCAATAGTGAGCGCCGGAACTGACCTCGATCTCGAACTGGTTTGTCAAGCGCATCATCTCGATGTGGGCGTCGAGGTCAAAATCAATGTCACTCTTCGGGGAGATCAGCTTGCGAATCGCTTCGCGGGCGTCCTCGAGACGGTCCTGGCGGACAAGCCACCACGGGCTTTCTGGGGCGAGGAGCGTGCCGATGATGATAGGAACGGGCCAGACCCACTGGATCGCGAAAGCTGAGTTGGATTCGAGTCAACGGTCTGTTCTTGGAGGGATGGGATTGAGTTGTCTCACGAATGCGGTATCCCCATTGATTATCGATTTGCAGAAGTCCACGAAGCATTCCACTGCTGATCAGCTGGCCAATGACCCAGCACATGTTCCTATGATGGTTAGCAACGCCTACGGTTTTAGTGGGTCTGTTGTGAGATTGATCAAACATACACCCAAGACGTCATGTATCCTTCAAGTCGGATTAGTAGGGCAACGTCAAAAGACACGAACAACAAGACTACTAACCTCGGAGGGCCATGGGGCAAATATCGGCCGCGTAGGTGACGGCAAGAGTCTGAAAGATACCCCACGGGATGCCCTGGATCAAGGCACCGGCCAAGAACATTGGAAGACCGTTGGAGAAGAATGGGATGAATACAGCACCGATCATGGCGGTCATGGCGACAACCATGGTTTTCTTATAGCCAATCCACTCGGTGATAATACCATTGAGGATGAGACCAAGGATTGAGCCAGCCTGAGTGCCGTTGTTGATGATGGTTTGCCAGCGAGCCGACACCAGAGGATCGCCATTAGCATCGACTTGGTCACCGTACCGCTTCATGAAAGCTGGGAAGGCGTAGAAGTTGCTCATGAGGTTGGTATCGTAGCCCTTCAATAGTCAGTCGCGGCTTCACTTGAGTGATCCACGGGCCATCATACCTCCATGATGATAGCTAGAGAGATGATGAACGAGAAGAGAATGGCTTTCGGCCAGAAACGAAACGAATCCCTCACGCTCATCTGGCGCTCATTTTGCATGGCAGTGATGGCCTCCCCAGGATTGTTGTCATTGTGATGGCTGGCGGTTGGCACCGTCTCGGCGCCCATGGTCTTTGTCTCGGTCATATTAAAGACTCTTGTGAGAGAGCGCCTACGGGTAAGGCGACTGCAAATGAGGTTATTCCCAAAACCTTCTACATCAATGGGACACAACGTCGCATTCATAGACAGAGAAGGCGGGGAACCTGTTTCCGACCTACCACGACAATGGGATGACTTGAGTGACTTGGCAACCCTGAGAGTGCAACACCCTCAAAGACCAATCCCATCATCAGATTAATCCGACTTTTTTCGCTTCTATGCCGAGGCAGTGCGGAGAACCCATGAAGGAACAACATTGGCAATCGGACGTTTCGAGAACCAACGTGCCAACGTCGTACAATAAGCCAGAATCTGTTGCGTCGTGTGAGGGTCCCATGGGGAATTCTCCGGGGTTGGGAGCAATGATCGGTCGAGACCTTTGGGGAAGCAAAGCGACTCAATCATTTGTCCATAGAATGTGTGTGTGGCACAGATCAGATGTCCAGGGCCGGGTTTGAGCGACTATTCCGCCCATTTCCCGCCGCCTTTTCCCGATTCGTAGTCTACGCCCGGCAGCGGAGGGTCCCAAACGACCCAACTCGGCCGGGTAACCACCGCGTGATGGGATACGACTCTCGTCATCTTGGAAGAAATCAGAGGTCCTCTTGCGTTTTCTGCTACTTGCAATCGCCCCAATTGTTTCCTTCTTTTTGGCTACGGACAGGGCCGCAACACAAACATAAACACAGGGCGGTGTTCCGTCCGAGGATCCAGCCCCGCCGGCATGCGGAAACCCTCGGCTTGTGCTGTGTGCCGGTAATACATGCTCGTTCCATTTTTGGGTCTTTCATGACATTTCAAATTGGCTTGTGATCTGACAAAATCGTATAGGGCCCGCAGGCGTAAATGCGAGACTCGTCAGGGCCTCACCGACTGCATTTACTGCAGTGAGAGGGGTATCAAGTGCGATCAAAGACCTCCGGAGGGAGGTTACTATGAGGAACGAGAGGCTCAGCGTAAAGAACGCCTGGAACAGCATAAACTACATCAGCGAAATAGCCACCAGGAAGTCGTGGGTTCGTCGTCTAGATCTCATGCTGGTGGCTGGTGTGCCCGCTGTGAGACCACTTTGCATGCCACACTGCCTAGCTTGCCGGTCCGGCTGGATCTCGCGAGACTCTACTTTGACTACATTCATGACCAGTTCCATTCTCTCTTCCATCGGCCAACCTTCATTGAGGATGCACTCGGCGATCGAGTGCCACATGGCATACTGTTTGGTATCTGCGCGTTATCCGCGAGGTGCGTCTTGTTAAGTTGCCAAGCAGAACATGTGAACAAATCCTCAGTCTAACAGCACTGTAGGTTCTCAACCGACCCGGAATTCGCAGACGTCGACCCTCGAGACAGAAGCCATGCATACATACGAGCCGCAGAGGTGCAACTGAACCTCCGTGACATATCTCTACCAACGATACAACTCTGCGTCCTGATAGGGGCGGCCTTGACTGCCAATGGCGACGGAGAATCAGAAAACATCTATTACGGCGTCGCGTGCCGCATGGCGCAGCTACTGGACCTGCCAGGCAGACCGGCAACCAGTCTCTTGGAACGAGAGATCAACATACGGGGTATGCGCGAGCTCACGCCCCCTTCATTTGCCGTTTGCCACGCTCATCTGCAAGTCTGTCTGCAAGGCACAAACTTAAACTGACAAGTCTGTTCCCAGTCTGGTGGTCACTCTGCATGATCGACGTATGGTCCTCCACCGCGGTGAAGTTGCCCAAACTGCTCCCAGCGAGATCCGACATCCCTCTGCCCATGGATGATCTCCCGTTCCTCTCGTTGAGCCGCAGCGGTACTGGGGCCACGAGTGCAACGTTGGCCTCTCACAGCTCTCAGCTCCTCTCGCAGATGGTTAGGCTCAACAGAATCCTCCTGGACATCACCGACTTCAACCAGCGTTGCGTAGCAGAGAACCCAGAATGGGATACTCTCGAGCAAGGCGTCGAGTCCCTGGGCACAAGAATGGAGGACTGGCTCGCCGCGCTCCCGGCGAATATGCGGGACACCTCCGAGAACTTTGCCTGGTTCGCGGCCCGCGGTCTGGGCCGGACGTTTGCGGCCGTTTACCTGGGATACTACCACTTTGGCCAGCTCCTCTACTACCAGTTTCTCTACGGCGCGGCGATCACGACGGCCATTAACCCGACTGCCTCGGCCTCCGTCGCAAGGAGAGACTCGTACGCAAAACGCTGCAAGCAACACGCGGCGCGGTTATGTGATATGGTCTACCGCGCGCAGATGACTGCAGGGTCGGACGTGCGGTACACGATGACAGCGCATGTGTTGGTCATCGCTTCGACGGTACAGATTCACACGCTCTTATTCAGCGGTGTTGAGGCGGACATCAATGTGGCTCGAAGGCGGTTGGAGAGAAATTTTGAGTTGCTGATGCAGTTACGGTGTTATTGGCCAACGACGGACCGGGCCATCAGCCGTCTAAGGGCCTTCCACCAGACTGCGCGTACGAGCATCGACACAAGTTTCGTGCTGGACCGTTGGATGTTGAGGTTTCTGGTTGAGTTTGCGGAGCCAATGGAGGAAAAGGATCGCGGGGACGTGGAGGACATAGAATCATTGTGGATTGAGGGGCCCCGGTGAGGGGGCCGGGCTTGTGAAGCTGGGGAACCGTTTCCGGAATCTTGGCCCGTTGATAGAGACCATTCTGTGTAGAATGTGGATTCAAACAGTGTACTCCTCTCTTTAACATGTGACATGCTGCGCAACCTGTGAAGCGGCTCATATTCGTGACAGGGGTAACTCACGACGTTCTGACTCCGAGAAATACACCGTTCAACCAACAAACGTTCTGCTCAGTAGCGGGGTGCTTCTTGGCATCCGGTGATGTCTCTATCGCAGTCGGTGATTTTCATCCCATCGGCGTTCAGGCCGGTCGACTGGGCTTGGCTGCATGACTCAAGATTTTGTTGCTGTAACACTGCGGAGAAGAGGCGGGAAACTCGACGACTTCTCCGCCCCCTGTTTGGCTTGGCTTGACCTCACCGTCTGATGTTGACCCCTCTAGCCCCCTCACTTGGGAGCGGGAGTGGGCATCATCTAAGTCGGAGAGTGAGAACTCAGAGAACAAACGTCCAAAAGCCACAATGGCGGGGTTGGATGGATTTGCGATGCTGCTTTTCTTGATATTCTGATCCGTATAAGAACGCGCCACCGTCAATCTCATGATTCTGCCGAAGGCTTTGAGAATGAAGACGAAAACATTGCAATTTCTGCCGCCATACCGTTCTCAAAATGGCACAAAAATCATTGAGTGTTTTGGCCGCGATAGCAATCACCGGACGGGTTGCCGCTATTAGCAATGGGCTGGCCGATACACCACCGATGGGGTGGGTAAGTTGTAACAATTCCTCTCACTTGATTGACTGGGGCTCACGACACTCAGAACAACTGGAACGCCTTCGCGTGCGATGTATCTGAGGATCTACTCCTGGGTACATCAGAGCGTGTAGTCAGCCTGGGCCTCCGCGACCTGGGGTACAACCACGTTGTGTTGGATGATTGCTGGCAAGATGAGAATGGACGCGACGGCAAAGGGAAGCTTCAGCCGAATCTCGCAAAATTTCCCCGTGGATTGAAATACATTTCCGATCATCTCCATAGTCAGGGACTGAAGTATGGCATGTATTCCAGTGCTGGTGAGATGACGTGCGCCAGATTTGGTCAGTCTTTATTTACTTCCTCTCCCTCCCCCCTATCAAGCCGATGCGCCGAGGAAGAATACTGACGCAAAGTAGCTGGCTCCCTCGACCATGAACAAGACGATGCCCAGAGCTTCGCGTCATGGGGCGTCGACTACCTCAAATACGACAACTGCTACCATATGGGCCGCATGGGCACACCCCAGATCTCTTTCAACCGATTCAAAGTCATGGCCGACGCCCTCAACGCGACGGGCCGGCCCATCGCCTTGAGCCTCTGCAACTGGGGCGAAGATTACGTTCACACGGTTCGTTTCTTCCTCATCTACATATATCCCAAGTTCTCTATCTGACAATATTCAGTGGGGCATGTCCATCTCCAACGCCTGGCGCATGTCGGGCGACATCTACGACTCCTTCACCCGCCCCGACGATCTCTGCAGCTGCAACCAGGCCGCGGACCCCTTTTGCATCGCCCCGGGCACCCACTGCTCCGTCCTCTTCATCATCAACCGCGTCGCCGCTTTCGCCGACCGCGGCATCCCCGGCGGCTGGAACGATCTCGACATGCTCGAGGTCGGCCAGGGCGGCATGACGGACGAGGAGTACAAGGCACATTTCGCTCTCTGGGCCGCTCTCAAGTCGCCGCTGATACTGGGCAACGATCTGCGGGACATGCCCGCTGAGGCGCTGAGCATCGTGAACAACCCGGCTATTATCGCCATCAGCCAGGATCCCCACGGCCGCAGCGCGTTGAGGGTAAGGAGGGATGTTGGGGGGGATCTGATCCCCGATGAGTATGGCGTCGCGGAGGTGCAGGTCTGGAGCGGACGATTGGAGAATGGGGACCAGGTCGTCATCTTCCTCAACGCTGCCGGCGCGGAGATTGAGATGCAGTCTTCGCTCGCGGACATCTTTGTGGCTGACGGTCCCGGTGGTTCGGCGCCGCAGGTCAGATCTAAATGGGCCGTTCACGATCTTTGGGCTGACAGGATGCCCGTGGAGACGGCGGAGTCACTGGTTACGGCCGAGGGCCATGATGCGAGGATGAGGATTTTGCAGGATGCAAACTGGTACAATGTCACAGAAATTCCTTACACGATTGGTCTAGACAAGGAGGACCCGAGGTTGTTTGGTAAAAAGATTGGTGAAGTCGAGGCCAGAGGTGTGTTGAAGGCTTCGGTACCCAGTCATGCGGCCAAGGTGTTCCGCTTGAGGAGAATTGCACAGCCTGGAGACGGCTTCAAGGCCAAGAGTCATGATCGTACGCAAAGGGCTACGAAAGATGAGCTGTGACGAGGCACGGAGCCAGCGACATGGAAGCTGGGCATAGTTTAGATACGTGGAGAACGTCGGCAGGATAGAACCTCTATCATTATGATCGTGATGGAATACGGAAGGAATATGAATAGGACTTGGATATCATGACGTATTATTGGCCATGAATCAAAAGGACTTCACAAGAGAAGAAGGGAAAGAGCGAGCGAGTATGTTCATTAATTCGACTGTTCGATGTGACATTTGGTGCGCAAAGCCGTTCGAAAGACATTGCCGCGGAATCTAGGAAAATAGCCTCCATTTGACTAACGGGTAAAGCTGTCCAGCACATGTGTGCATCATTTGGGAATACATCTCATCTCCATGACTAGAGTACGAATAGGGGCTAGGCGATGACCGGTATCCTTGACGAGAAAATTTGTCAACTTGTCAAAATACTACTCAACGCAAGATAGCGTCAAAGCTTTCTGCATATCTACCCTTGATTCAATATCAAGCTTCACTTTTACTCTCGCAGGCGACATTGACCTAGATGGTCAACAAATACCACAAGAGACATAGCGAAAGCCTGACTTCACTCGACCCTCGTCGTGGAGAGCTATGAGACGCGTTTAAGTTGAGTTCGGACTGACACAGATGGACTCAACCAAGCCCCACGGCTTCGCTGCTACGAGACAATATCTACGACGTCTTCTGGGTGCCCAAAGCTAAATGCCCAACATACGGCATCTTCCAAGACACCTGCCTAATAGAGACCACACAACCCGGCGTCAAGAGCGTATTCACTCCCATCAAGTTGGGACCTCTCAAAGCCCCCCCCTTCACCTGACTCTGACTACGCTTCCCAAACTCACCTGTAACCCCGCGGCCCGATTCATAGCGGTCGATATCATCATGGAGGAAAGAACAGGCGACATATGTATCAACGACCCGGGTGCAACAGGACATGGGACTCTACTTAGATCCAAGAAAAGCTTGCTCTCTCTTTCTGTTTCTCTGGCTTTCTCTCACTTCATCTTTGAACCAATTTGACGGAGCAGCCTACATGTATTGTGGGACGTGATCCGAGCCCCTGATCCGCCGAGCATCCGGACTCGCCTATTCAAGCATGTCGTGTCTCGATCCCGAAGCGCCCCCCGGACAAAGTCGTCCCCCTCAAGGATGGGGAGCTTCATCGCCCGAGGATGAAGAGCGACCGAGATGAGCGTTACCCCCTGGATGTGTTCTGGATGGTATTCCTCGGCCACTCGGTCTGCGGGCCTTGAATTTGATTGACTAGATACTGCGGAGGAGATGAAGGCGGATCGGCGTCCAAATATGGGGACATCATAGCCATGAAACGTTCCATGGAGATATCTCAAAGTACCTAAGTGCCGTCACCAGAGACGAGAAATATGGGCTGTTGCTAGCTTTCCTAAGAAGATACTCCATATTCCCAGAGCGATGACGCCTCGAGGGGTACATCTCATGGAGCCACGATACGGACAATGTTGTCCTCGATCAAGTGTCACCGCAAAAGTGCCTGGCCTTACAGTCAACAGCTGAAGCGACAAGACAGCTTCTCTTTCAAGAAAAGCCATCGTATCAAGGAGAATTTGTCACAAGGTCTTGCAGATGTGAGGAACGTCTGATCTGCTGAGAAGCCAAGCAACCAAAGAGGCTGCGAGAAGCGTGGCTGGAGGCGTTGCAGTAACCTAGTTGCTCACCACACACCCTCGCACCCATAAATACCCCATTGAGCTTCACAAATCCCACGCCACGAGTTTTTCTACGAGTTACCCCTGGGGCAGGACACCGTTCTCGGGTATATCCGTACGTGAGGAGCGTGGAGGGAGGAGGGAGGGAGGAGGAGCGAGAGAAAAGAAACCAGGACTGAGATCGCCGCGAGGGCATAACAGAACGCCTCACTCCCTCGGGGCTTGGGTGGCCATGAGAGGTTGGGCCAATAGAGGACCTTTAGGAGCGAGACTGACTCTGATCGAGACCTGCAGGGTATTGGTGACATGCCTGGCCAAGAAATTGGTGGCAGAGGGCTGCTGTGAGAGCGACGATGACCCATGCTATACTTTGACCACCGAGAGCAGATTGCGCTACAGAGGACAGTGATACCTCGTATGAGATAGCAGGGCACGACGCGATGGTGAGCTGCGAAGGTCGTGCGGTTTGGGATTAAGTGGCATGCCTTGCAGCAATGTCGTCAGCCTCGTATCTTCCCTGGAGAACATCACTCAAGCCGTCGTGCTGGGACCGGACCGTTGTGCAGAGTCTCTATCCGGGTCGTGCATACAAAAGAAAGCCAGAAAAAAGTATGAAATCCTGCATCAGGTCACTAGGTTACCCGGTCTCTGTTTGCTGTACGCGTCAAAGTAGGAAGCGCCGTCGCGTACTCCGTAGATCCCGCTGTTCGTTTGGTGTCATCGGCCCTCAGTAAGCGGGGAGGAGAAAGGGGGGGGGGGGGGGGGGGGGGGAGGGGGAGGGGGGGGGGGGGGGGGGGGGGGGTGCGGCCGCGTGCTGGGGCGCTCGGTGGCCAGGCCGGGGGGGCGGGGGGGCGGGGGGCCCGGGGGGGGGGGGGGGGGAGGGGGGGGGAGGGGGGGGGGGTGTGGAAGAGGAGGTGATGGTGGGAGCTACCGAGCGCGGTTTGCGCCTCATCTATGTCGCCTTGGGTCCAAGGAAGAGGAGACGTGTGTTTGGCTGGTGTCCGACTTTCTTTTTCCCGCCCTCGGATGTCGCGCTGAGCAGTTGAGGCGGTATATGGGCTCAGGGATACCATGGATTCTGGGGGATTTCTTGTCTCCAGTCTGTATCGAGCAACCATCTGTTCCGTAATCGGAAGTGAAGCGGCAGCCAGACACGGCCGCAACTTCGCAAAGCCAGGTCGATAGAGATGGCGTGTGCGAGAATCGCGGCAAGCAAGGACCGCATGTTCAAGCACTTTGCGTCATCTGATGAGTATATTTGCTCGAGATGATGCAGCTTCCCACCGCTCTCTGCCATTCTTGTTGTCGTGTCGGTGTACGGGTATATGCAGATGCCATAAGGAACGGCCTAGGTGGAAATCGTCTCGTGCGCCTATTCGTATTCTAGGTTCGCTCGCCATCTTGGCTCGCCCACCCCCAGAGTAACGGTGAATTGGGAGATTTTCTCCCCCCCTGCACCCTAGCGTTCGCAGTTCTGGGCCGATCGGATGGAGTCCCCAAGTCAAGGTAATGCTTGCCGTCGATCTCTAGTCGCCGGCCACTCACTCCTGATAAAGCGTGCCACCATTGATTGACCAGGTCTATCGTTCGTTCTGGCAGTCTTTTTGCGACATGTATCCCTACACAAACTGCCCGGCAGGCTCGTGAGTGGAAGCTCGATTGGACCTGAAAGCACCTTGCTCTGTAGAGGTCGACCCATACTGGGCACGACAGAAACGCAAAAGTAGGCCTCGAGCGGCTAGCCTGGGCGATCATTACTCTCCCCCACGTGGTCGCACATCAAACGAAAACCGCCGAGGTTAATGAGCTATCAACGCGGAATTCAATGGCACAATCAGGTGATTGGAGAGGTGCGCCATAGAGGAAGACCAGTCGAGATTGCGAGCGGCAACTCCACGGACCAGCCAAGCCAAGCCATTGGGTTTCGTGAACCCGCATTCACATGACACTGGGACTGGAGAGTCGAGGGGACGAAGCGACTGGGATCCTGAATGATCTGAAAGCACGGCAGGCCGGTGCTATGTGGCTCAAGATATCGCAATTAATTGTCCCCTGGCCCACTGCGTCCAACGCAATGAGCCAAGACGTGTTGGCGCTCCGGCCGTCCGTGGCACCCTCGGCCCCGTAAACAACAGACTTGTTGATATTTTCTAGACTCTCGGAAAGGCACAGATTGCCGAACAGAGAGGTCGGCAATGACATACCTCGGATGAGCTACTATGGTCACAGTTCGAGTAGCCTCTAGGCATTGCCTTGGACCACATAAATTGCGGCAGAGTAGGTCGATGGACTCGCAAAACAGTCCGAATGCTGGTCGTCCCCACGCTGAATTAGCTCCTCGTGAGACGTCTAGTCCAGCACCGCCGGACGCCACGAAACGCCCTCGTTTCTTATTCCAACATCTCTCCACTTTCCCATAGTATTTTGGAAAGTTCTTCTTGGCCGACTGACATGACACGAACGGGGATGAGTCCAGCGTGGCCAACATGGCTATCCCGAGTAAAAGAAAAATTGGTCGTGTCACCAGACCAGGCCTAGACGAGAGTGAAGTACTTCGTATGGATACGCAACGCAACACAACGCACTTCTGTAATCTGCACATCTCTAGGTGTATCCGTCCCTCTTGTGCTCCTTTCTTTTTGCTGATTGGTTGCACCCGCCCTGCTGCAGGATCGTGGAAAAAAACCGAGATGAGGTATTCTGGCGGCAACCCGCAGAGCTCCCAGAGACTCGAACGGTGCGACCATTATCGTTTCCATGCCATTCTGCCGTGCTACGAGCCTGGCGCCCGCTCTATCCCATTTAGGACCAAGGGTACTATCACGAGCTTTGGGACTGCGCTGGGGAGATGATGCTGCCATGACCGATTCGACCCATGCTACAAGGATCATCTTTTTGGGTTCGATAGGAGTAGGCGCAGAGATTCAGCCCTCCCCTATCCAATTGCTGACGGGCCTTGTCGTGCATCTTGATGGAAAATGCTACCACGACTTTTCTGCAACGCTGCTGATAACTACAATTGCGTCTGAGGCCCCAATCAGGGTAAGATATGGCGGCGTCTAGTCAGTCGGCAACTCGGCCAACTACAGAATCCATCAAACCCTTCGCTCGACCATAGCGTAACCAACCCAGAGTATGACATTGTGCACAATACGGCTGTAGAAGAGTCTATTCCTTTCAATATGAGCAGCGCACAAAGTTGATACTGGAACTTTGAGGTGTGCACCCGATGTGTGCCTCACTCGCCTGGGGGGAGCACGAGCTTCAAGCCGGCCTTCCCTCAGATCCAGCAGCTGGGCGCGGGTAGTTGAGACAAGTGTTTTGAGCCTGCTGTCTTCGATCCACGGCCCAGTATCCGAAGAACTGGTTCGTGGATAATAAGTGCATCGGCTGAAATCGCATAACAAGGTCGCACAGACAGCCCGGGGCATACGCCGTATAACGTCTTTTGCCGAGTGCGCATGAGTGGTATTAACAAGCCGGTGCACTGTGATGTGAAGGAATACAGCTCATGGACCGTTCTATGCCGGCTATTTGCGGCCTACTTTCACCCTCATGTCGAGTATTCAAGTAACACAGCTGCTGCCCGTTGGAGCTTGAACAACAAGGTGGGAGAGCGGACAGTCACCAGCGATGCCCATTTCCTCACTTCCAGACGCTCATTTCCTTCATGCCAACATATGATAAGGAGGCATGAGTTGATGCATTCTGTGAGGTTGCCAAGAGCGTCGGCAAGATTGTGAGGGAACCCAGAAATGTGGTTATGCCGAAATGTGTGGCTGCTTTGCTGGTAACAAGACCATACTTGGAGTAGATTAGCGAGAGTGAAGACACGGCAGGAGCCATTATCCGTATGCAAGCCGAGGACTGTACCAACATACCGAGCTGAAAGCGACCATGGCTGAGCAAGGAGGGATTGGGGCCCCAGAGAGTTGTCCAAACGACATGACTGTGGCACCAGGCTGCATGCTCGGTATTCCAACGACAGCTCTACCATCCCAGCTCGGAACACAGACCAATCATGGTGTCTCGAGCAGAGATCAGTCACATTGCCGCTTCCCGCACGGAAGAAGGATGTTACACAGCAGTCAAATGTGGCAGACGTTGAAGAAGGTGACCGTATCAGACGACATTGTTGCGAGGGTGAGCGCAAGATCTGCCTCAGGACCAATATGGAGGTGCATGATCTTGTTAGGTGAGACCGTCTACCTCGATCTTCGCGTTCAACCGGTCGGTAAACTTGGGCGGCTAAATATGTCGCTTCGAATGTCAGTACATGAGCTGAGCGTTGGCCGGAATGCAGCCATGAATGACTATGCGTAAAGCAGCAACTTCGCCATGTTGATGAAGAACAACAGAAATATCTGCGCCCAAGAAAACAGATGAGACAGCTCTCACCACATAGCCCCCCGCCTCAGTGCTGCAAAGCGCACCCACACGGTGGGTGCCACGCTCTCGATTAGTCGACAGCAACGGGGTCGGAATTACTGCTCTTAAGCCTGTTCGGCATCGTTGCTAACGAAGGCTGGATGACGCGATCCAAGACATGATAGAGGAATGCCCTAGCAAAGCTTACTAGAGCGCATGTTTGGGGGCTCCGCTGGCAGGCTCGTTAGGTATTAATTCGTGCTTGGGTTCTGCCCTCAGCCGTAACGGGCCTGAGCCGAGAGCATGACTTGGCCACCTTCTGTAGCGTTGCCCCGGTCGCCGTAACTGTGTGACGGACAATAACATGCCTATTATACATATGGTGCCTGCAAAGGAAGCTGATGAACCACGGCGCTGCCTTCACTGACAGGGTTAACATTCAAGAAATGATTGTCTTTACGACCTAGACCCGTGGTCCTGGGCCTTCCGCTACAGCCACGAGGTGGGCCCGAGGGGAAATGTCTCGCAAGAAGCAAATCAGGATAGTGAGGTTAGTACTCGGAAGCGAATCTGCAACATGCGGGCCCCGAGGTAAAGCAATGAAGGCAAGGTACCAATCGTCTGCCCCCTCCCACCCTGGCGGGATGACTTGCATATCATAGACATGGCCGGGCCAGTAGGAGACTGGGCGCATCGCATGGAGCGGACGGACAGAACATGACGACAAGGACGAAGCGGGTGGATTGCCGATGGTAAGATTGTGTCAGGGCACAAGTCGGTGAAGTTGCACCAAGATGAAGTGGTAAAACGGTAACAAGCGAGAGGCCTTCGGCGGGAGGGCAGGGGACCAAACAAGCTGATGACGGGCTTGTGTGAGTCGTACGAAATTGGCTAGAAGGCCACGCTTTCCAGGGCCATGGTAAGTGTCGAGGTGAGAGATAACCCAGGCGAGGCAGAGTAGGAGCCAAGGTCTGGTGCTATGATTGGGCATACGCCGCACCCGCACCCGTACCCGCATCTGCACCTGCACCTGCACCTTCATCCGCACACCCGCAACCGCAATGGCAGTCGCAACCGCAACCGAATCGATATGAGGCAGGCGTGCCGTGGTATACCTAGGCGAGGGCACAAGCGGCAGTGCCAGTGGCCTGCGTCGACGTCCGCATCCATCCACTGGTGCCAGTGATGATGTTGAGCTTGCTAGGCGTGGAGAGGACGGTGATGAGAACGTGCGGAAAACCGAACGGTGCTGTCTGGACGAGAAGAGGGGAGGCGCGAGACGGCGATGGTTACGGCCGTAGGCGAATAACAGTCATGATTTGCTCTAGGGGTTAGGCGGCCGACTGTAGGTACTGGTCGGGCTACCTACAACTAGCACTTGCGACAAGTCAGTCAGCATAAGCAGGCTCTCCGTTGGGATACCTCGTGGCTCGGCAGACAAAGCAGACGGCGTACAAGGTATCCGTAGGCAGAGAGCACGGATGCGGTATGGGGTCCCATGGAGGAGTGAGAGAAGGCGAAGATTGGGAGGTGAGGATAGCGACGAGGACAGCGACTTGGAGTCGAGATGGTGACGATAGCGACAGCCACGGGAGGATGCATCCAAAGATGGCCTGGTACCAAGGGATACTTGCGCGCCTCGACTCTCGAGGCAAGGTGGGCTAGCAAGGGTCATCTCTACCTCGTGGGGTCGTGGAGGGCACCTTATGGTGTTTTGGTGTCTGGGGTGGAAGCGTTCTTGCGGCCGAGGTGCAAGTGCAGACTCTGTAGAGGGACTCGGGAGGAATCGAAACGGCGGGCTGCTTGATTTCGACGTTGTGGAGGACGCGGAAGGCGAAGGGGGGGTTGTTGGACGCGACGAAGACGGAGACTTGGGTGTTGCCGGTCTGTAGCGGGGAGAAGACCCACTCGATCTTGGA